AGTTTATCGCTGTAGATAGGCTACAGGCCAGTTGTTAGGCCGCGTTTAGGCCTCAGGCCACTGTGATGTTATTAGTCTAACTTTTCATCTTGATTTCAAACTAGCTACAACTCGGGTCTGAGACGTCTGGACTACTTCTATCAATAGTCAAAGGTTGTAGTTACTTTGAGATCCATTCATCATTTATCACAGAAGCCAGTAGTTTATCGCTGTAGATAGGCTACAGGCCAGTGGTTAGGCCGCGTTTAGGCCTCAGGCCACTGTGATGTTATTAGTCTAACTATAGGGTATTGTTAGTTAGCTCATGTGTGTAGCACGCTACGCTTTTAATAATTGACCCCCTCCCTCCCTTCCTCTCGGCTAACTGAATTTTACCACGGCACGCCGATACTGATAGGTTGATTTCCATTTAGACTAGGCTTTAGCTCCGCGGCGGTATTGCAGGATTGGAGGTTTGATTAATAGTGCCATACGTAGACCTATATTGTGTAATTCAATTCGAATGGAAGTTTATTTTTGCGTTATGATTATTCAAAAGTAGTTAAGAAACGGAACGATGTGGTTCTGTAGCTAGATCAGTTGCCCACCTACCATTGAATATAGAAACAAAACGTGGTTCCTTAAAATCATAAACAGAAACCAACGCCATTTAAAAAATATTAGTCTACTATAATATAGTTACTTCATCGTGCTTCTTGACGGACTGAGTACGCAAAGTAAAAAGGTGATTCTAAAAATCGACTTTTATAAGGTTACACCACAGACAGTTACACGCCCACCATTGATTACAGAAACTATAGGGTGCACTTGAACCATCGAAGTATATAACACAACTGTTGTGTTATACACTTCGATGATGACTTGAACCCATCGATAGACTACGACTAGGCTACATACAACTATGCTTGAACCAATTGAATATAGAAACAAAACGTGGTTCCTTAAAATCATAAACAGAAACCAACGCCATTTAAAAAATATTAGTCTACTATAATATAGTTACTTCATCGTGCTTCTTGACGGACTGAGTACGCAAAGTAAAAAGGTGATTCTAAAAATCGACTTTTATACGGTTACACGCCCACCATTGATTACAGAAACTATAGGGTGCACTTGAACCATCGAAGTATATAACACAACTGTTGTGTTATACACTTCGATGATGACTTGAACCCATCGATAGACTACGACTAGGCTACATACAACGATGCTTGAACCACGCACAAAAATGGAGCGCACTGGCTCGGTCGGACGGATCCGCCGTCACAGAAGTTCCTGGAGTTCGTAGCTCCAGATTTTCTATCGGACACAGAGAGCACAGCTCTCTGATCGGACATGCCGAAGGTGCGGAACGCCGTTGCCGGCCGTGATGATGCAGTAGCGCATGCTAATTTGATTCAATGTTTTTAACTAATGAAAAATTCCGTACCGACCCAGTGGCCGCGCACAATGTGACAAAATAGTGAGAGAGCTCGCCCTCACTAAATCGCATCACTTATCTACGCACATTTAGCCTTCCGAGAAATCTCAATTATTTGTATCGAAAATATGTTATTACTAAAGTTCGGTTCCTCAAGTGAGTAATACAAAACCGGCAACTAAGAAGAAGTTTTCCATCTTTACTTTGGTTATAAACCTTTTTTTCTTTTACATTATTATTTTAATTAGTATCGTACACTACGTGAAACTCGTTTATTCATGGTTTGTCACTCATCAGTTGACAAATTTGGTACATTTATCCGCAATTCAATTTTGCACGGTCTTCTGGTAAAAGTTTACAAATTTATAACAAAACTTTTCAACAAAAATATTTAGTTTTCTTCCGGTCTTCATGACTATTTATTCAAGTTTACTACATTTAAAATTTCTTGTCCTTACAATCCTCAGTCGATAAGTTTATCACAACATTATAAAACAAACCTTCTTCTTTCTTTAGTTGAAAAAATCATCACACAATGTTGCCACAGCATTTATTTCGTCCCTCTCTTTGTTTTAAAAGTTTGAAAGTTACAATCAAGATTTCTTTTCCTTCTAGACTTTAGTCGACATATTTATCACAACATCTTGCTACAATCAGATATCCTTTTCTGGCCTTCTGTTGATAACTTCAACATTTCGCCACATCAGATCTCTGTTCTTCCGGTCTTGTCTGTAGGTTTTGCCAACGTCGCTGCCCGGGCCTCTGTAAATCAGCCCCAGCCACCTGTCTGCCGCGGGGAATAAATTACCAGTCAAGGACGGGAGATGGAGACTCCCCGCGGCGAGGGTGGTGACAGAGAGGGAGACAGTCGGTAGAACAAAGGGGAGTTTTTATACACCTCCATGTTGAGAAGGCGCCGCCATAGCTGGGGTGGGACCCTTACGTAATCTACCTGCATAGCTGATCAAGTAATGGTGGACGTATGGAAATGAGGGATAACGAATGGTCGAAATGAGGGTGGTTGGCATAGGAGACATTTTCATTTTAGTTGAAAATGTCATTCTATGTCTTTTTGGATCTAGTAAAACATTTGGGTTTTGGACGCTTGGCGATGATGATAAATTTCGATAGTAAATGGATAAAAAAAATAATAGATGGAATGTGTCGAGTTTTGCAAGTGACGTTTGAGATGGCAAGCGGCTCTTTGCACCCAAAAATTCACGTCGAGACTCTCTACATTTTTGGCCTGTAAAGAATTATATAAACCCACACAAAATAAGAGATTTAAATACAAAATGTCATTGGGCTACTTATTTTACGCTGCAGGGAATTTTTGAAAAACTTAAATTTGGCTCGTTCAAAGACTTGTTTATTTTGGTAAAATTGCCAAACACCAGAACTATGACGAGTTTAATATAAACAAATAATGAGTATTGTTAAACAATTTCTGAGTCCCTTTACTCTGAGCCAGAAAACTAGTCTCGAAAACTAGTAGATTACGAAACAAGTCTGAAAAGAGAGACATCAACAACTGGAAATATGCTAAGAATATGTTTTAGGTTGATTGTTTAAATAATTAGTGAATTGTTATGGCAAACAAGATCCTATATTCTTTCAAGTGAAAATATATTCTAACGAGCAAAGCTTGGCCAATGTCCACCCAACGTTCATTGATTAGATAGATAAATCCAATCGGTGTTTACAGATCAATAATGCAGAGTGTGATATTTCGCGAAAGTACAGCTCCTGCGACCTAGTGGCAAAGTTGATAACTACGACAAGCGGGTGAACAGTACAGTGTGGTGTGTCCATTGTTGTTGGACGGATTTGTAGTTTTGTACGTAAATAAAGTAAGCCTGTAATTATATTTCATCATTACAAGTATTGTTATGTTTGCGGAATCTACGACGTTAATAATAATAGGCCTAATAAAATCAAAATTATCCACATTTGAATTCTAGGCCTACACCTCAGTAGGCCTAACGGTTTTGACTGTGTTGCCTTTAAAATTGTACCTATTTATTAATTTATATGGTAACATAAGTTATTCTATCTATCCAGATTTGATTTTTTTTTAGTAAAAGTATTTTGTCCTTTCATTGAATTAAACCCCCCGCCGCAACAAACCTATTATGGCTAAGCGAAAGGTACCATTCTGATCGGAAACCGCAAGGTACCACTAAGCGAATTTCCAATAAACTCCGCGATTTGTTTGTAAAATATCAATTAAAGTATTAAGACCGATTAATTGGTTTAAATATTTTTGTTTCTTGCTTTTGTAGTGTAGATCATTCCACATCATATAATATGTTTAAAGTTAATTTTACATAGCTCAACATATTTCATACAAAAAAAGTTTATAATTGTGGAATCTTGCGTATTCTATAAACTCTGTTATGTAATCATACAAATCAAGTCCAAATTGACTACACTGATTATGTTGTCATTAGATGAACAAAGAAAAACTACAGCTATGACGTGGAGTTTCAGAGAAAAAATATTTTTCTACAGTTAACTAACAATGTACATGTTCTCTCACTGATTTGAGAAAGCAAAGTGGCCAATTCGCTCATCAGTGAGACAATGTTAACATTGTCTCACTCTAATTACTTTGTCTCACTCCAGATTTGCAACATGAAGGCAGGAAATAGTGAGCGCGTAACATGCAGACAAGGTCGTATGCGCGCGAAATACGTTGGCAGCACTGGCTGTAAATCAGCTGGTCAGCTGTTGTACTGTTGTATTTGTCACTTCACGTTAAATGTCATATTAAAAGTTCACTTCTGTGTAAAAATATGTCACGTTTCTTTACCAATTTATTTGTTTTATGGTAACTGTAGGAAAAAATATAATGTGCAAATTGCAATTGCTCACTAGTTGCACAAATAACTATTATGTTACATTCCTGTAGAGTAAGCTGGTTTTATTGAATTTTAATACAATTTGTTAATTTGCCAACCCCATTACGGGCTAGTCCACTAGACCTACCTAATTAAAAAGAAATAGCTACAGCTGGTCCATATAGATGGGACGTCTAAGTTACTTCAGTAATTTGGTACTGTGGTCACTACACATTAATTAATAAGTTAATTAAGTTAAACTATCCTTGAAATCTGAGATTAATATCATCATTACTATTTTATTGGGTAACAGATATTTTCCATAGATAGGACCTATTTTATTGAGTAAAAGATATTTTCCATAGATAGGACCTATTAGAATTTTTCTCAATAGAGGAGAATTCGTAATGGAGTGGGTTGATAGGTGTACAGGGTAAAATGTTTAGACGCGAAGACCAGAGTGAAGTAAGTAACCCACATGGTTTATTGGGTTTGAAATAAAAGGCTAGTAAAAAAATCTTTTTCAGTGCTGGCTGCTGGCTTCCATTTCTGTTTAATTATAGACCCTCCATGAAGCTGGGTGTTGCAATGCATGTTGATTGTGATTGGTCGGTAGATCATAGGGGGGTTCTAACGAGTCCTGTGATTGGTCGAGACCAGTTTTGGTCTACTGCGCATGACGACGCAGTGGAGGAGAGCACGCAAGCCGAGCCGAGTTCCGAGTTCGCCATATTAGATTTTCTGTTCGGCGTTTCTCGTTTTGGGTTGGTGTTGGTGATTTCGCGTCTGTGCCCTGTGCCTGTGCCTTCCCCCGCTCCCGTGTATGTGCTATGATGACGTAGTGTTCTTGTTGGTTGTAAGTAAACACAATAAATAATAGTTATATACTATTTATTAAGATTTCCATTGCTATTCATAGACATTAATTTTTGTTAAGCTCGTTAGTTTTACTCGGAACTAACTTTTATACGGAGTTTTAATTTAGCGGACATAACCTCAAATCTAACGTTTGTTGATTCCTATCTGTAGGATTTTTTTTTGTTTGATTTTTCTCTAGGATGGAATGTTGTTATGAAGTCTGCCTACAACCATAGCTACAACCTATGTAGAATTCTAAAATTACATTATACTTAGCCTAAGATTGCAGCCAATAACTTATGTTGCCTTAGGTTATGTAGGCCTAATTAAAACTTGGCTCAGCGATCAATAACACTAGGGCATACATAACCTATAAAAGTAGTAAATTTGTGTAAACAAACCTTACCAACCAAGTTTAGTAAAAGAGTAAACGTAAAATGCTCCCTTATTCAGGGGAGTATGTACTTTAGTTAGTTTAACCGTTAACTTAATTTATTAAATATCCGTATAGCACTATACTGCCTTAAAACAATTCCAAATTTAATGCAGGGGCATTGTTTGTCTGATTCAGTTGTGAAATAAACTAATGAACACTTTGCTCTTAGATCAATAACATTGGCTAACCTATAAGTACATAGTAAGTTGATCCACGTGTAAACAAACCATACCAAGCATGGAAAGGTCTTATTCAGCTGCTCAATGTTTCGTAGAAATTCCTGTAGCACAATCTCATGCCATCACTACTCTCTAAAGGATTTTTTTTAGGATAGTTTTCCTGAATTGTCTGGCTAAACCGCATATCCACATGCCAAAGTTATTGTAAATATATGTTTTTATCTACTCAAATTCAGTTTGTTATTATGTATTTTTGTATATATTGAAATTCTGACGCCATCAATCCCTTATTGGGTAAAAGATGAAGACATGGTAATTGTTGTGAGACAGTTTATTTCATAACACCTGTTAATTTCTATTAATTATTATCATATGTTTATTTGTTATTCTATGTTTGTATAAAGGTAAATAAAGTTAGTTGAGTTTGAGTTATGACATAAAACAGTGCATTCACTTAATTCTTAGTCAAATAGTTCATGGTGGCAGCGGTTTAGAGCTATGCCTCAGAAGAGAAATCCAAGAAGGAAACAATCTGACTATGAAGATAATGAAAATGAAAGAAGCAGAGAAAATGAATACAAAAATTCAACTAAGAAGTCAATCATTGTATCAAACACTCATTCAGTAATTCAACCTCCAGCTAGTTTCTCCTTTGTACCAGCAGATTGGCCAAGATGGAAAACACGATTTCAAAGATATCGGTCAGCATCTGGGCTATCTGAAGTGTCTGAGAACAAACAAATCAACACTCTTATATACACATTAGGTGAGAAAGCTGATGAGATTTTTGCATCTTTTAATTTAGCAACCGAATCAACGCTAACATTTGAAGAAGTCTTAGATTTATTTGACAAACATTTTATTCCACGGAGGAACTTAATTTTTGAAAGAGCAAAGTTTTTGAAGAGACAACAAAAAATTAATGAAACAGTTGAAGAGTTTATAGTTAGTCTCCATTCCTTGGCTAGAACCTGTGACTGGGGCTCACTTAATGATGAAATGGTGTTGATGGTACTAATACTGGGTTTAAATGATGAGAAACTTAGTGATCGCTTGTTGCTAGATCCTGAGATGAATTTAGACAAGGCCATTACAGTAATAAGACATGCAGATAACGTAAAGAAAGAGAAGGCAGATTTATGTGATGAGAAAAGAGTTCAAATTGAAGCAACTACGTCATCGAGTTCAAACCAAAATCAAGGATATATGTTTCGTCAAAAGAAACAAGAATACCCAGCGCAATGTATCTGGTGTGGTTATAAACCGTCTCATCCAAGAAGCACGTGTCCAGCAAAAAGCGCAACATGTAACTTATGCAAAAAGATTGGTCACTTTTCGAAGGTCTGCAGATCTAAAGAAGCACAGGAAGTAACTGATGAAAATGAAGTAAGTGAACTTGGACCTTCAAATAATAAAGTATGCATAGGTACACTTGGGGATGGGTCAAAATGTAAGCCCTGGAAACTAGAATTACTATTTGAGGGAAAGCCACAAACATTTAAAATTGATTCAGGGGCAGATGTAACAGTAATTCCCCCTGGCATAGTTGATCCAAGTAGGATCCAGCCGACTCTAGTTGAGTTGTTTGGGGTTGGTAGAACAAAATTAGAAACTGTAGGTTGTGTTAGAGCTAATATCCAATACAGAGATGTTAAAATAAATCACATGGTATACGTAGTGAAGGGACTCATAACACCCTTGCTTGGTCGTCCAGCAATACAGGACTTGAAAATTTTAACTTTTGTTAATTCAGTTTCAGAGGTAGACAGTGACTTTTTTACCGAATACCATGAAATGTTTAGTGGTCTGGGCGTCATTCCTGATCCCTACACAATAGCACTTAAGGATGGCGCAAAGCCATACGCAATAACCACTCCTAGGACAGTACCTTTACCCCTAATGTGTCAAGTGAAAAAAGAACTAGAAAGTATGGTCCAAAATAATGTAATCACACCAGTTGAGCATGCTACTGAATGGTGCTCAGCAATGGTAGTAGTGCCTAAATCTAATGGAGATGTCCGCATATGTGTTGACTTAACAAAGTTGAATGAATCCATCCAGCGGTCTTATCATCCGATTCCCAAAATTGAAACGTCTCTCAGCTCAATTTCAGGAGCAAAATGGTTTTCAAAACTTGATGCAAACAGTGGTTTTTGGCAAGTCCCCTTAAATGTAAATTCCCAGGATCTAACTACTTTCCTTACCCCTTTTGGACGGTTTAAATTTCTCAAACTTCCATTTGGAATCACATCAGCACCTGAACATTTTCAGAAATGCATGAACAAAATCTTAGACAACCAGTCAAATGTCGCAGTCCATATGGACGATATTCTGATTTGGGGCAAAACGAAAGAAGAACATGATACAGTTGTTCGGCAAGTACTTGAAAAGCTTAAAAATGTAGGAATGACACTTAACAAAGACAAAACTGAGTTTGGGAAGTCAAGTATTAAATTCCTCGGGCATTTCCTCTCATCCGATGGAATTTCTGTTGATAAGGAAAAGGTTTCCGCCATTCTCAAAATGGACTGCCCAAAAAACGTAAAAGAACTTCAAAGGTTCAATGGGATGGTAAACTTTCTTGGTAAGTTTATTCCTGACAAAGCTAAGATTTTGGCCCCAATGAATTCACTACTTCAAGCTAACGTTCCATGGATATGGGGTCCAGAGCAGGCGAAGGCATTTGATGAAATAAAACTCATTTTGACCAACTCTCCTTGCCTAGCTATTTACGATGTAAATCGGGAAACAATTATCTCATGTGATGCCTCGCTTCAAGGACTAGGATCAACTCTTTCTCAAGTTCAAGATGATGGTTCTATACGACCAGTATCATTTGCATCCCGAAGCCTTCTTCCTTCTGAAAAAAACTATGCAAACATCGAGAGGGAGGCTACAGCTGTTGCTTGGGCATGTGAAAAGTTTCAAGAATTTATTATTGGCAAGAGAATAACAATACAAACAGATCACAAACCACTGCTTCAAATTTTGAAGTCCAAACATCTTGATGAATTGTCTCCAAGAATTCAAAGAATTCGATTGCGTCTCATGAGATATGATTTTTCAATTACTTATATTCCTGGAAAGCAGCTTCTAGTTCCTGATGCTCTTTCAAGAGCACCTCTCCCATTTTCAGGTACTGATGACCGTGAGTTAGAAGAAGAAACTCAAGCGTTTGTTCAAATGGTTTTGTCATCCATCGATATAAACGACTGCATAGTTGCTAAAGTATTGGAGGAACAAAATAAAGATCCGACTTTACGTGAACTGAAAAAAATAATCATCCAAGGTTGGCCTTCTAAGACATCATTGCGAGATGACCTAAAACTGTACAATTCAGTTAAGGATGAGCTAAGTGTTGATAATGAGATGATACTACGAGGTTCAAGACTTGTAATTCCGCCAGCTCTGCAGTCTTGGGCACTTCAAAGAGTACATGAAGGTCACTTTGGAATCACCAAGTGTCGTTTACGTGCAAAAGAGTCAGTCTGGTGGCCAGGAATTTCTTCAGCCATTGAAAGTATGGTGAAATCATGCCCTACTTGTATTAAACATTCAAGGAACAGTCATGAACCATTGCTTCCCACACAATTCCCTGACAGGCCATGGAAAACACTTGCGATGGATTTGTTCAAACTTGAAGGCGTTTGGTTTTTGACTGTGACAGATTATTACTCCAGATATTTTGAGATAGCTGAATTAGAGTCATTAACATCACGAGAAGTAATAATGAGATGCAAAGCCTTTTTCTGTCGACACGGCATTCCAGAAGAAATTAGGTCTGACTGTGGGTCTCAATTTCAAGTCCTTGAAAATTCAGATTTCAAGACATTTTCCAAAGTTTATGGCTTCAAGCATGTAACAAGTAGCCCAAAATTTTCCCAAAGCAATGGAGAGGCTGAAGCGGCAGTGAAAATCGCCAAAATGATTCTAAAGAAAAATGTGGAAGACCCTTATTTAGCGCTTCTAGCCTATCGAACGACACCCCTCTGGAATGGGTTCAGTCCCTCTCAGCTTCTTATGAACAGGCGATTACGGAGCACATTGCCTCAGACAGGACATTTGCTTTGTGGAAAACCAGATCTAAAGGATCTTAAAGGGAGAGAGGAAAGATATCGTGAGAAGTACAAACACAACTATGATAGAAGGCACAAAGTGCTAACTCTCAATCCTCTTCATATAGGAGACCCAGTTTGGATTGTGGACCTTAGAAGACATGGCAAGATTGTGAAAATCCTCGACAGCCCTCGTTCATATATTGTTGAAACTGATAAGAGGAATGTGAGAAGAAATCGATTCCACCTCAAACTTGCCCCTTATTTAAGAGAGGAAAACAGTGAACAAAATTTGTCAGCGAATACACATCAAACAGAACCATACAAC